TGTTGTTCGTAATGATGATGATGATGTGATGATGATGATGATGGTTGTGTTCCGGTGATGATGATGATGGTGTTCCGGTGACGGTGATGTTGTTGATGATGATGGTGACGATGGTGGTGTCCCAGTCATGATGATGATCGTGATAATGCTGATTATGATGGTGATGGTGATGAGGGGATGGTGATGATATTGCTGGTGTCATGATGACGATGATGACGTTGATTGTGAGATCGACTGTGACATCGATAGTGAGATCGATCGTGGGACCGAATGTGAGATCGATTGTGAGATCGTTTGTGACATCGATAGTGAGACCGATTATGATATCGATAGTCAGATCGCTTATGAGATTGATCGAATGAAATAGATCGAGTGAGATCGATTGTGGGATCGATCGAGCGAGATCGATCGAGCGAGACCGATAGTGAGATCGAGAGTGAGATCGATAGTGAGACCGATCAAGTGAGACGATGGTTCCTCCCCCCCCCGAATCTCCTTATCACCCGAAGGGTGGTCGCGTAGGTTTGTGACCGCCGCGGCTGAACGAGCTGCAGTCGTGAAGGAGGGCGACCTCCTCGCGAAGGCCGGCGTCTAGGCGAACCCAGTCAAGGTCTCTAAAGCCCTTCCTACTCGAGACATGGTTTGACAACGACTGTTTCAAGACACAAGATATGCTAACAGCGTCAAACATCATGACTTCGAGATACGTGTAAAACTTGAAATTCGTCAGTAACGAGAAGTTTGAGATGGAAGGCGTCGTCAGACTACGCTTGGTACTCTGGGATTTCATGTGCCTCGAAGCCTTCGATGTGGAGACGTCCTCAGGAATGGCGCGACGGTCGAGTCAGCGACTACTCGCCAGCGCGGCAGCTTGCAAGAAGCAGTGGGCCACTGCTTCCCATGACATCAACATGGCTTGCCTGACAGACCTCACTTATCAGAAACTTACTGAAGCAACCGGTGAAAAAGAACGCATGGCGTGCTGCGCATTGCCACCCAGGTCAGCATCTCCCAGCATTTGTGCACTATGATGAGTTGATGCACTGCCTGCAGCGCCTCAAACCAGGCATTGGCACCGAGGACGCACCAAGAGCCTTCTCCCTGTTGCTCAGAAAGACCACGAGAAGGTTCTGTCTCAAGCCCACGTTTCCCGACGAGGAGTTCGAGACAAGCTCTAACCTTCTTACAGCCAAGCCTGTTGAAAACATGAACGTGGCCGGCACCAAGGAACGCCGTCGACAAGTATGTCATGTGCGTCGAGGAGACTCGTGGCACATGTAAGCTCAACAAACACACATGTACCAAGTGTGTTGTGCGGTACACAAAAGACGGTGGCGGTGATGTTACACTTGACCAGGACGAATGTATAGAGCAGCTCGGTCCTCTCAATTGCATGGGCTCACGGGCGCAAGCGCTGAGGCCAAGGCACCGACGATGGTTACTGACATGTTTCTCAGCCTCAGAGGTGCCTTGGTTTACGCCCTGATCGCGCAAGTCTTCTTAATCGTATATGTTGCATCTCTACAGCGTGTCCAAGAACCGACCAACATGCAAGTGTGACGACTGGGCGCGATTGCCAGGAAGACACAGGCCTGCCCTCAGGAGATCGCGTATCAAGCGATGACTCCAAGCGGCGAGGTCGACCTGCACAGCGACTCCGGCTACCGGCGTTTAAGCGGGGATGCCGAGGACGAGGTCAAAGGTCATGGTTTTCGCGAGGCAAACCTGCTACGGCGTGGACACGCGCGTGCTGGCAAGCCCGTCGACCTTCTTGTCGACGCGCACTGGGGGCCCCATCGCTTGGAGGTCCGCTCGAGCCACTCCGCGGAAAGACTTGCAGCGGCCCGCAACTTGGAGGACAGCTCTCCCGAGCGTCACTCTGCGCGAAGTCCACGCAGGACTGCTGGCGCCCACTCAGTTGAAGGATACTTTGAGATGGGCGGCCTGAGCATTAATGTCATTTTGGCAATCGATGCAGAATATGTCGTCAAGTCCTTGCCAAGCAAAGACTTGAAGACACCGACTGAGTGTGCAATTTTCGGACACATCCGCTGGATGCGATGGATGATGGAGCGAGGTGCCGTGCATTGTGTACATTGGTATGGCACTCGTGACATGACCGCGGACGGCCGCGCCAAAGGGAGCATCGACAGAGACATGATCTTACAAGTCATGGGTGGAACGCAATCCTGCAAACATGTTTGAAACGACATACTCCATACAGGGCTGGCCAGACATGATCGCCCTAACCGCGTTAGGAGTAGTCATATGCAAGGTAACTTGCCTGCGAGGCAACTTGCTTGCAAGGGAATTTGCACGCGGGCCAACCTGTCTTGATGAGCCTGTCTGCTGCTGCCTACCTTGTATAATGTAGTGTGTTGCTGCGGAACTGGCGGCAGACTCACGCTTCGCCCCCCCCCCCCGACTCTAAAGGAGGTCGGGGCAAAAGGCGAGAGATAGCGAGCGTTTGTCCGCGGCCGTTTGTGCTCAAGCGGCCGGCCCCGAGTATAGAACCGCCTCATCGTGAGGCGCACTGCTTGCCATTGAGACCGAAAACATGTTTCGCTTGACGTGACGCCGTCGCTCCCACGACGATATCTTACTCCTGGGGTTCTCGCTGCTACAGTACAGCAGATTTGGATATGGGCTTCGCCTTGGGAGGAGCGTATGGTTGGGCCTCCCAACCCCCTTCAAACTCTATAGGCCAGTCGCGGCCCGGGCGCTGGCGCCCCCTCCCAGACATGATCGCGTCGTAAAAAATCAGGACGGGAGTTTTCTCGTTTTTGCCATTTTCGGTCTCGAGGGGCCTTCGCCGGGCCTCGGGACCGTCACAAAACATTCAGGATGACAAGCCGGTCCACGGGAATGGGGTCGGGGCTTCCAGGTACACCGTCCTGAAAACATCCGGACGTCGCACGGGCTGGGGACTTCAGGGAACCCGTATTGAAAACATCAGGACATCACATGTCTGGGTTCATCATCCCGACGTCGCCGATGAACCGGCGGACCGATCCCCCGAGCCCATCCTTTCTGACCCTACCCCCAGACAGCCTCCGATTTGTTGCTTTCAATCCGCGGCCCCAGAGGTCCCGACAACGTCCCAGGGGCCAGCTTTTCGCCTTGTTGCGCTTTTGATGGTCCCGTGGCCCGAAAACAAGCCTCAGGAACCGAAATCGATGAGAAACGCCCAGATAGGAAAAATCATACCCTCGGAGCTTTGAGTCCATCTTGTCACGTGTAGAGGACGAGGGGGAAGCAGCATTCCCGAGACCGGTTGTCAACCTCCTGCTCCGTAGCGTTCTGACGGCCTTCTGGTCGGCTGGGCACCTGGCCATGTCAGGGAACAGTCAGGAGCGGTTGGACCGAAGCCGTTGCAGGAGTGTTGTTTCCACTCCCTCCCTCCCTTCCCTCCCGCTGCGAGCTAGACCCAAAACATATGTCGCGGGCCTTGTGTCCTTCTCCCTTGCGGAGGGGTTGATACGAGTCAGAAGCTGTTGCCTGATGCTGCATTCGAACCTTTCGACCGCCCTGTCCTTGTCCTTTTCCTCCTCCTATCTCCTCCGCCTCCTCGCCAAGAGTTGCTAAGCATGAGGTGCGTACCGCCCAGGCCGAATTTCTTTGCAGGACGATGGACTTGAATTGGTGCCCGACCTAGACTGTCCCCGCAAACACCTGCGCCGACACCGCGACCGTGGTAAACACTCGCATGCCTAGGCAATGGAAAGTATCCTGCGTGGGATTACCAGGAGAGAAGAATTACGCACATGTTCAACCGCGTTGCACCTACATTGTTGCAACCGCAATCGGCGACGACGACGACGAGTACGATGACCAATTTGGTTGCGTTGGCATATGCCTCGCCATTCCGCAATCCATGCCAGATGAGATGAACATGTCGACTGCTCAATGATGCTTGGCAAGAACAGGAGAGGAAACTGGGAAAGTACCCAGGTTAGAGGAACACACTTACTTGAGTTCGCGACTTGATTGGAGAAATGCGGATGGCAATACGGAGCATCCGAACTTACTTCCCGAACGAATTTTGCCAGCGACTTGCCCACTACCTGAATGCACCCTGCCAGCGCTCACAGTGACAAACGTCATACGAAGTGATTCCACAAAACACGGAGTGACGTGCTAGCACGAGACGAGTAGCACATCTTTCGCAAGGTGTGGCTTGTGATGTGCGCAAGCTACAGGCTAGATGGAATCCGTATGCTGCACGACTGATGGAGGCGTTCCACATTGGACGAGCAAGAGGTGAGAGAATGGGTTGCGTGATTTGCACCAGCTTGTGCGCGCCACGCCCATCCCCAGCGGCACCGAGTTTTGTTGCTGTCACAAGCGAAGAAAGTCGGCTAATGTGTTGCAAAGGCATCGTGGATCGATAGGCCATCCGCTGCAATTCCATTTTTCTGCCAGAATGTAATCCCTCGCAATGATCACCACGCATTGCCTCACAGTCCGCGCCGCGCAGGCAAAAACAGAGATGCATAGGCACCCACGACGGTCACAGCCTCGTGGAGGCTCGCCCCCCGCCCATTGAATGCACATACCTTGGAATCACGTATGAGTGCTCAGCGATCGTTCAGCAGCATCAGTTATGGGCAGGAAGGGTCGGTTATGATGGATAGTATTGTTGGGAATGGGGTAGGCGAGCACTCGTCACAGGACTCAGGGAAGGCACGTGAGAAAGTGATGCGGGCGGTGGTCATGAGCATGCTCTTCCCCACAGGAGGTTGTACTCCACGTTGGCCGTTCCATTGCTTCCGTGTCTTCCATTCACCTTCGATTGTCATTACACATACTCCGTTTGTTTCCTCGTCCCACGCGCCAGTGCCTCTAATATATGTTTAACGTTGATCCTTCGTGCCTCCCGTTGATTGGTCCCGCACATGTCGGTGCATGGCCGGCTTCTGGCCAGGATCTGCTCGCAGGTGGCCGCGCTCCCTGGCGCTGCGTTCCATGCCGTCCCCCTGCCGCCCCGCGAGGAGCCCTGCATGAAGTGGAGGAATTCGGAGGGCGGCCAGTGGACGAAGCAGGCCATGCACCGCCTCCGCCTCATCCTCTCCACCCCGCTTGTCATGCAGCAGGCGCCTTGATTTCAGAAGCCAGCCTGCCAGCGGGCGCCCCCCGGAAGCAGCTCGTTCCACCGATGGCCTACCGCTCCTCTGCAATGGGCCTGAAGGTAGCGCCGAGGTGGTCCGGGAGAGCCCCTTTCTGGAGAGAGGGAGAGAGGGAGAGAGTACCTGTCTGGTCATTGCGAGTTCTTGCGAATCCTCTGGCGCGCGAGGCCTCTCTCGAGCCTTTCAAAGGCTGCCCGAAGGCCTCTCGGGGGCCTCGCGGAGGTCTCTTGGGGCCTCGTGGGGTTTTGTCTCAGGGCCTCAGGGGGGGCCCTCTTGGCGGTCTCGGGGGCCACTACGCCGTCTCATGCTATGTTGGAATTATGGGCTGCCGGCCACGCTCCTTAGGCTTCAGACAGAAAGTCATGCCGGGAAACCCAAAAGTCACGCGAATGGCCAAGGGACATTTGGACATGAGGGCCTCGGTCCCCGTAAAAAGCATCCACAATACTGAATACGCACGGTTCTCGGGGACTTGAAGACACTCCATTTCTTGTTTCGAGGCGCGATGTCGGTATTCTGACGAGGTGTTAACAAAATTATCGGTTATTTGTGCGACCACCTTTTGGGTAATAAGGATGTTCGAGGGGAGGAATCGACGTCTCCCACTATCGATCCAACTATTGATCTCAAAATCGGCATCGCAACATCAGTATCGATCGCACAAACGATCTCCCCATCGGGCTCACATTCGACCTCACTATCGATATCATTACCGATCTCATATTTGACCTCACAGTCGGCTCGAAATGTCGCGCACGTTGAAAAAAACGCGGCTTTCTTCCAATTCGTCAATCGCCGCATGGTTGGCCACTGCTCTCAGTGTTAATGCGGCGCATCGGATTCAGAAGCCACTCATCCCAGACGGGCCCTCGGAAGCCGCGCTGAGGAGTGATGCGTGGGAGGAACTTAACATACATGCGCCGTCCGGCACAATGATTGAAGAGAGGCCCTTGCCAACAGAGTGTGTCAACCTTATTTGGCGGTGTTGCAACCCTCTTGCCTGGCTCTATTTCCTCTGCGATCGACCCCCATGGTTTTCCGAGCTGTTGAAGGCGAGTGCGCGGGGTGACAGATATCCAGTTGCCTGCGGCAAGCCCCGCCACCGTGCCAGCCCAGCATTTTGGGTGGCGACTGTTCGTATGATGATGCTGATGATGATCGGGGGTGATGATGATGATTATGATGGTGATTATGATAATGATGATGATGATGACGATGATGATCGGGGACGACGACGACGATACTGATGATGGTGATGCTGATGATGATGATGATGATGCTGATGCTGATGCTGATGGTGATGATGATGATGATGATGATGATGATGATGATGATGATGATGATGATGATGATGATGATGATGATGATGATGATGATGATGATGACGATTGCGATGGCGACGACGACGATGACGATGAGGAGGAGGATGACGAGGAAAAGCAAGGCTGTCACTTGAGGCGCTTTTCGTTTTGACCTCGCTAGGAGTCCCCATGGAGCTCACTTAGGCCGTCTTAGGGCAGTCTTGGGGGCGCGTTGGGGCCTTCTTGGGCCGTTTTGAGGCCTCTGGGGCCGTCTTGGGGCTCTCCTGGGCCGTCTTGGGGCCCTATTGGCCGTCGGCGGGGTCTCCTGGAACCGTCCTGGAGCCGTCTTGGAGCCGTCGAGCGGCCTTCTCGCGGACCCCTCCAGAAGCCCTTTTGGGCCAGCTTGAGGCTCTTTCGGGGCTGTCCTGGGCCGTCGATGAGCCCTCGTGGGCCCTCTCGGGGGCGTCTTGGCCGCTTCTTGCTTCATGTTGGAGCTCTCTTGGGTCCTCTAGGGGCGATCTTGGCGGTCTCCTGGGCCGTCTTGGGCCGACGGAAACCCGGAAACGCGAGAACCCACAAATCCGTGAAACACAATCGAAATGCGCACCACAATGCAGGCCGAAATTGATCTTTCCCTGGACCGAAAACCCAACCAAAAAACATCTAGCGGTGACCCCCGCCCCCATTTACAACACCCAGTGTAGTCTCCACGGGGGTCGGCCAAGAATTTTGAGGCGGATCCAGCCGCGACCACGAATGGGGGCCCTGGATAATATTGTGAGGCGGATCCGGCCGCGACCGCGAGGGGGGCCCTGGATGCCACAAGGAGTGCCCGTATACGAGTGACAGACGAGCGATAGGCGAGCGATAGGCGAGCGATAAACCAGGGCGGTCGTCTATCGCTCGTCCATCGCTTGTCTATTGCCCGTCTATCGCTCGTCTATCGCTCGTCTATGGCCCTTCTTCGCTCACTAAATAAGCCGTTCGTGTTTTTGTTGGGGTTCAGGTTTCCAACGAAGGCCGCGGCGTGGATCTTACCGCGGAATAGGAACACCTGGCCTGCCAGATTTCTTTCAGTTCGCTCGGGCATTTTCCAGCGAGTCCCGCCGCCGTGCCAGCCCGGCCCCTTGGGTGGCCGCTTTCCGAATGATAGTGATTATGATGATGCGGATGACAGTGTTGATGGTGATGATGACGACGATGACGATGACGACGACGACCGTGAGGAGGAGAAGGCTGGAGAGTCTCTTGGGACCGGTTTGGGGCTGTCGAGAGGCCGTATTGGGTTTTTCCGGGCGCCGTCATGAGCCAGCTTGAGGTCCTCGTGTTGGGGCGCTATGGCCCGTCTATAAGCCTTCTTGGGCCTTTTTTCCGAAGCCATGTTGGACGTCCCTCGGCTTATTTTGGAGTTCGATTGGGCCCTCTCGGGGCGATATTGAACTGGAAGTCCAGAATAGTGAGGATCCACAAGCCAATACATAATTTAAGGAAAACAGTTGTTTGTTGTTTCTTGGGGCCCTCTGGATGCTCCTCGTGGAGCCCTCTGAAACCGTCGTGTTTTTTTTTTTTTTGTCTTCGGCCCTCTTGAGGCCATCGTGGGCCGTCATGGGGCCATCTTGGGCCTCGTTAGACCCATCGTGGGCATTTTGGAGGCATGTTTGGCCATGTGAGCCATCAGCATGGCCCTCCTGGGCTCAATGGCCGCCCAGGGCCCCCCAAACATAGGGGTGGTTCATGCGACTCTGCGCTTCCCTCAGGGTTTTTTTTCGCCCCTCAGAAGATTACAGAAACCCTGCCAGACAGCACTTGGCATTCTTCCACGCGTCAGCGCGCCAGGGGGCACGGTGACGTATGGCCCCCCCGACGCCTCAAGCGAGATCCCAACGAACGTCCACGAAGCCAGGCGCGAACATTCATCTGGAGGGCCAGGTGGGTCGGAGGGGGGCGGAGGAAGAGACGCGGGAAGGACGAGAGGGGGGAGAGGGGGAGAAGACGAGGAGGAGGGGGAGGGGGAGGAGGATGAGAGAGGAGGGGGGGGGGGGCGGAGGAGAGGGGGGGGGGGGGGGGGGGAGGGGGAGGAGGAGGAGGAGGAGGAAGAGGAGAGGAAAAGGGCAGGAAGAGCAGGAGGGAGGACTCACATTCGAGTGTTTTTTTCGGGGGGGGGGGGGGAGGAGGAGAGGAGGAGGAGGAGGAGGAGGAGGAGGAGGAGGAGGAGGAGGAGGAGGAGGAGCAGGGGGAGGAGGAAACGTAGAACTCCCAGGGATGGTGAAGAGGCTGCAGTATATTCTAGAGGAAGACGGAGCAAACGCGGGGAGTTGTTGCATTGTTTGACTACGCGGCCTTTCCGCGCGCTGGGCTCGCCCGCGCGTGGAAGGCCGGCGCCGGCCAGCAGCCGGCTTCCCCGCCCCCCGCCCCTGGACCAGCCAGGAGGTTCAAAATTCAAGGTCGCGAATTAAGCGAAATTCCAATCCGTTTCGTTTGGGGGCCGCATCTAAAGTTGCCCATCCATGCCCTCCGCCCCCGCGCCCCGTCCCTGATCCCAGGAGCTCGCCGCTGCGGTGGGGAATCCACGCAATGCGAATTGAAAGTAACCGCGAAGCTATCCAAAGTTAAGTAAAGCTATATAAGGCGAAATGTTGGCAAAAAAGAACCAAAATGATTAACCACATCTAACTGACCCTTTCGCCGCGCTATGTGTTCAACAACTGGATAGAACCAGGTGCGCCAGCAATTATATATCGGATCGCAAGTCAGGCAATTGCACCAGGTCAGTCGATATGTGAATTTCAATTATAGCTGGTTCCGCCCCAACTGTTCGGCATATGAGTGCGCTTGCCAGACTTATAATTGCGCGTGTCAAACTTACGGTCATGTTTATAAATATTGTATGTGCGGCCGCGCGTGAAGAGCTTCTTTATTCCGGAATGAAAATAGTGTGGCAAGGAGGGGGGCACCGATCCATCCACAGGACAATAATCCAATGAGGGTATCATTTGAACATAATGAACCAAGGTTTTTCATTTCTAGATAATAAACCACGGTCGACGAGGATTTCGGGGCCACCCTCTTTTTGGGGGGAGCTCAAATTGGCGTACACTCCACAGCCTGGAGGTCCGCGCGGATTCCTCGGATCGACGCTGGGGCCCCCTGGCGGCGCCTCTGGCGTCGCCCCTGGCGCGCGGAACGCGCCGGGAAGGGGGGTCCAGCGCCGATCTTAGACATCCGCGCGGGCCTCCGAGTTCTTATGTTTATGTGATTTTTCGTTCCCATATACATATAACGGCGCACCGGGTCCGGGGGCCCGGGGCCGGGACCTCGACCACAAATGTGGGCCCCGGGGGGCCCGGAGGCTCGTCGGACCGCCGGACGCCGTCCAAGATCGTTCGCAGGCGGCTTCGGAACGCGCTCCGATGGCTCCAGATGCCTTCCAAGACGCCTGTCATGACACCAAGAAGGTCCCAGAAGCCTCCAAGACGCTCCGAGAGGCAGCCCAAGAGAGGCCCAAGAAGCAAAAATCGTGTCATTCCTATGGGAAAACGTATATTTTTCGCATGTTCGCCTCTTGGGCTTTCACCGCGTCCAAGACGGCCCAAGAGGCGCCCAAGACGGTCTACGAGGCCTCCGGGAGCGCTCCAAGGCTGCGCACGAGTGGCCCAGGACGGCCCCAAGACGGCCGAAGAGAGCCCCAAGACGAGTTCGAGAGGGGTCCCAGACGGAGAAAGCCAACCTCGAATTCCGAGCTTCCGGCCCAAGAGGCTCCAGGAGGCGCCAAAATGCCGCCAAGAGGCGCCAAAAGGCTCCCAAAAGCACCCCAAGACGTTCCGAGAGGCACCCCAAGAGAGGTCCAAGAAACAAAAATCGTGCCATTCCTATGGGAAAACGTATATTTTTCGCATGTTCGCATCTTGGGCTTTCACCGCGTCCAAGACGGCCCAAGAGGCCTCCAAGACGGCCTAGGAGGCCTCCGGGAGCGCTCCAAGGCTGCGCACGAGTGGCTCAGGACGGCCCCAAGACGGCCCAAGAGAACCCCAAGACGACTTCGAGAGGGGTCCCAGAAGGAGAAAGCCACTCTCGAATTCCGAGCTTCCGGCCCAACATATCCCAGGAGGCGCCAAAACGCCGCCCAGAGGCGCCAAAAGGCTTCCAAAATCAGCCCAAGACGTTCCGAGAGGCACCCCAAGAGAGGTCCAAGAAACAAAAATCGTGCCATTCCTATGGGAAAACGTATATGTTTCGCATGTTCGCATCTTGGGCTTTCACCGCGTCCAAGACGGCCCAAGAGGCCTCCAAGACCGCCCCAAGACGGCCCAAGAAGCTTCCAAGAGGGCCCCAGGACAGCCCAAGAGGGCCCCAAGACGGCCCAAGAGGCGCCCAAGATGGCCCAAGAGGGCCCCAAGACGGGCCCAAGAGGGGGCCCAGAGGGGGACCACGAACCGCAAGCTCGAGCCTTCCGCCCCAAGAGGCCGCCAGGAGGCCCCAAGGAGGCCCCTCAAGAGGCCCCAGGAGACCCCCAAGAGGCCCAAAGGAGGCCCCGAGAAGCCCCAAATCGGCCCCCAAAATGCTTCGAACCTGCTTCCAGGAGGCCCCCGACAGGTTCAGAGGCTCCCGAGAAGCTACGTCAAACTCCCAGCGAGCGGCCGGACGAGGCCCCCCACAAAATCACAAGAGGGTTCCAGTATTTGTATCCTTCAGCGCTCTCTGGCCTTCTTCCCCCTGCCCCCTTCCTTGCGACTTTCGTTGACTCAAGCTCGCCTCCTAGCTAGAACCTAAGCGCGCGCGAAGCGCGCGCGTGGTTCTAGTCTATATATACACACACACACGTTTCTTGAACAGACCTTGTATTTGGGGGCATAGTATTGACCTTCCACAGGAAGTGGATGGGTCAGCCGAGGTGTCGCCTGGTGCCCTCCAGTGGGCGCCCGTGGGCGCCTCGTGGGCGCATCGTGCGCTGGATGGCTCATCCGATGCTTCGCCTGGCGATGGCCTGGTGGCACTCGCGGGCGCTTCGTGAGCGCCTCGCTCGCCGGGTGGGCCAGCCGGGATTTCGCCAGGGGCGCCTCCGTGGGCGCCCGTGGGCGCCTCGTGGGCGCCTCGTGCGCTGCGTGGTTCCGCCGAGGTTTCGGCCTGGTGCCCGCCCGCGTGGCGCCCGTCGCCGCTTCGTGCGCTGGGAGGCCGCACAGCTTGCACTGCACCGCCGAGCTCTTACAGCATCGGTTGCAGCACTCAGCTTGCAACGCAGAGCTTGCACCACAAAGCTTGCACCACATGTATCTTGCACCACATGGTTGTCATGCCACAGGATAGGTGACACCTGCACGACCTTGCCTACACCCCCATAGAGTGTGGCACGGTAGTTTGCGCCAGATGTCTCTCACTTTATAGCGTGCACCACATGGCTTGCACCATTCAGCTCGCACAACAAGCCGTACACATTTGCAGCGTAATCATGTGTTGTTTAGGCCGGCTTGGCGAACACACGCACTCACACGTGTATATATACATATATATATATATAGAACATGGATGTGTACAGATACCTATGTGTGTGCGTGTAGATATGTGCGTATATATGTATGACACAAGACTTGTGGGCTCGCTTTGTTTCGCCTCGCATCTTAGTCTTGCGTCCAGGCGCTGCTTGGGGACTGCCGAAGGACTAGTAGCAATCGGAGCGGGATGAGTGGGAAGGTAGTGACCAGGAGGGGGGTGGGGGTCAAGGGCCGGATGGAGCCCAGAGGCATGTTCACGCCATGGAGGAAAGGCATGGTTGCGACGGGGGCGAAGGTGAGGACTTCGACGCCAGGGTCATCTTGGGCCGTTTTCGGGCCCTCTTGGGCGCTTCTGGGGCCGTCTTGGGGCGATCTTGTGGGCCTCGTGGGCCGTCTTGGAGCGTCGGAAAGCCGAAAAGGCGAGAAGGCCAAAACTTTCAAACACCCATGGAAAATCAATGATTTCTGCCTCTTGGGACGCCTCTTGGAACACTCATGGGACGTCTTCGGGGCTTCTTGGGCCGAGCTGAGGCCATCTCAGGTGCATAGGGGCACTCTTGCCTTCTCGGAAGCATCTCCGGCCCTCATGGGACCTTTGTGGGCCCAAGAGGGCCGGCTGCGCTATTGGAGGACGCGCGCGACACGCAGGGAATTCTCGGAAATCCAAGGGAATCCCGGGGAATGCCTGGAAATCCTGGGGAATGCCGGTAAACCCCGGATGATCCTGGGAGTCTTGGGAAATGTTTGCTTGTTTTTTTTTTTTTATTTTCTAGAAACCTTGCAGTTCTAAATTTTTCAGGGCTGCGTGAGACTTGGGACTCCACTACGTGTTGCAAGCACGGTGGCGGATTTTCATCTGTTCACACATAGATACGCACATGCGCATCTGAATTTGCAGACGCGGGTGAACATGTAGACGGATCCCTTCCTCACTGTATTTTGTTCTTTGTCTATCACTCTCTCTCTCTCTCTTTCTCGCCATCTCTTTCTCTCGCTCCTCGGCGCACCACCTCGTGCCACATCCCACGCCGGTCGCTGACCCCCTCTTTGCCCGTCCTCCTCCCGTCCGCCGCACCGCTCTCGCCCACCTCGCGCACGCGAGGCAGTGAAGGAGCCCGTGGAGACGCGGCTATACAAAGAGGCAGCGCGGCCTGGCCCGACTTCCAGAAGCCACTCTGCGAGGAGGAGGAGTAGGAGGGAGGGGGGGGAGGGATGAGGGAGGAGAAGGGAAGGAGGAGAAGGGAAGAGGAGGAGGAGGAGGACGCGGGGACGCGTTGCGCGACGATGTCGCTCCAGCGCCCGCGACCGCGGGCGGCGGGCCCCCCCCGCGGCCCGCGGGCCCAGGCCAGGCCTCGTCCAGCACCTTGAGGACGAAGCCGAGGTCGGCGGCCCAGTGCTGACGGCCGCGCTACTGACAGCGGTCGGGGAGCACGTCGGCTCTCTGGGCACGCCCTCTTGGGGAGGGCAGAATCAAGGTCGGCCCAGGCCGACCACCAAGAGAGCCCGTCACCCAACTTGTCGCAGCGGGCCTCGTGCTCGACCGAGAACTCCCAGCCGATGTGGTAGTCGAATTCGCCCCGCACCATGGTATAGATGAGGCCAGGCTCCTCACCATGTTCACTATGTCCACGGGGTCGCATACATCTCGTTCTCCCCGTGCGGTGGGTTAGTTACATTCCGAATCCCACCGCACGGGGGTGACGCCACAGCTCGCACTTCGTGAGGCACAGGTGGTACCCGTAGTGCACGAACGCGCTGCTTGGTCTTGCCTTGAACCGCGAACTACGTCCAAACTTCAGCGAGTCATACAGCAAAACTGCGAGTGACCCCTGGGCCGGGTACCGTCTGCCTCATGGAGGTGACCAGTGCCTTGACACCCAGGGGGAATCGTCACCCTTCGGTCGGGCACCGTCTGCCTCATCCGAGGTGACCAGTGCCTACACACCCAAAGGGATCACAAACGTCCAGCAACGTGGCTAGTGAGTGCACGTCTATCCGTGCCGTCATCCCAGATACCATTCCACTCCACGCCCTTGAGCAGGCGGGACAATAGGTAGGTAGCTGAAGGCGTGGGCGGGGTCGAGTGGCAGGGCTTCTTCAGCAGCTTCCCGAGGTAGCCCCGCTGTCCAGGGCTCGCTCGGCCCGCACACAGCACACAGAACCACTTCGCTTCCTTGTGGTTGAAGATCATGTGGTGGGTCGGGTGTGAGAACTCGCTGCCGATCACAATGCCTCTTTTCGTGCGTGTCGAAATTTTGCAGCCTGCGCAAGGTCGAGATAGCCATTGCTTGGCGATGTACTTGGGCCCCGTCCTGGTAGCGGACTGTCTGCACCGAGTGCAGTCCCAGCGCGCCAAGGTGGCCTCTTTGCTGATGTCGTGGTGGTGCTCCAACGCGATCTGGCTGAGGTTGTGTGGTAGCTCAGGGTGGTGGTAATTCAGCTCGTCTGCTCGTTGCTGTCGTCTCGTGGCGTGCTGGGGTGGTCTGCTTTCAAAGGCGTCACGGGTGGCTTGCCATATTCTGTCGCGAACCTTGACCGCCGTCGCCCTGATCCAGTCGTAGCAGTCGAGCTGGGCCGCACCGGTCGCGTGCTCTGCCGCGGCTTGGTCGGCGAGCTGGTCGGCGATGTTGTTCCCAGCCCAGGCGTGCTTGGGGAAACCCCCTTGCAGAGCCTCCTCCAGCGTCAGGTGGCTCTCGATCTTGAACAGGCTGATCGTGCCACGCCTGTTGATGGGCGCTTTGTGGATAAGCTGCCATACGTCCGCGTTGGAGCCCTGGTTGAAGGGCCCCTGTTGTCGAAGGTTGCGCCAGCCCGCTACAAGTACCGCGGAGTCGGTCCAGAAGTGGAGGTCGTCGTTGGTGCTCTTGACGCAATTGTAGAAGGCCAACGGCTCCGCTCCGTACTTGCTCTGCCTAGGTCCTGGTAGGGGCCCCGCTTGCCTGCCGCCAACTGGTATTCGCCGTCAACGCCACGGCGTAGTCTGACCCAGGCCCAACCACATCGCATGTATCGGTCGTCCCCAGATCGTTCTCCACCGCTGCCGTCCCCATGGATCACCAGTGGCCCATCTCCCGTCGGCGCGAGTCTGCCTTGGTCGATCGCTTCGCCTAAGCAGGTCTCGGTTTCCTCCGTGGTGCAGGGCTCTGGGCATGTCCATGGTGCGGGGGTGAGCCCCCGTAGCCAGAAGCAGGGCACTGCGTCACTCATGCTGTCGGCTCTTCGTGTGATGGCTGAGGAGTGCTCGTATGCAGGGCTGTCCTTGCGGCTGCTGCAGTCGCCCCAGATGCGGTGGAAGTCCGTCTCGTCGCGCCCGCACTGGCAGGTGGTGTGCCTGGCTCCTACGCTAGCCTTGCGTGCCTCAGTCCACGTGCCAGCGCAGGCCGCTGCTAGAAGCGCACCGTGTTCTGCATGACGTCCTTGATGGAGGAGTGAGCGTAGGCGCCGTCGAAGGTCTGTGTTGTCGATGCCGTGCTCACATCCTGTACCGTGGTAGTGCCGCGCTGCATGCAGCCAAAGTCGTCGGCGGATGTGTCTTTCCAGTGTGTCAATCAGCTCCGTGGGGTCGCTTGCCTGCTCGCCCTCAGTAAACTCCCACGCGCTGCCATCTGCGTCGGTCCACGAATCTGCCCGCAGCGCGTCCCAACCGCAGAGCCACAGGGTCAGGATGAGGCTGCCGATGGCTCCCCGTTGTTGCTGCCATCTGTGTCGTGGTGGTGCTTCGTAGAAGTCGGTGTCGTATGAGTGGCCACGCCTTCCGTATGCCCTGTCTGAGGTCTGGGTTCTTGGCCCGCATGTCGAACCACGCTCGAACTTGGCCCGTCAGTATGCTGATGGCTGGGTCGTGGCCTTCGAGGTCGAGGAGCGTGGTGAGGCACCTCCCCGCCAAAGGGCGTTGCAAAGCTTTAGCGCACCGTTGCCGAGTGCGGAGAGTCTCCGCAGGTGAGGCCCCGGATATCTTGCGGGCGTAGGTCGTGGAAGGCATGGGTCCTAAGTTGATGATCTGCTGTCGTTGACGTATGAGTAGTGGTCGTGGCTTCTTGCCGATGGATGTGATGCGCTTAGCTGCTAGTCGCCGTCGTGCTTGGTGTGTTCGTCGTTGGGTGGTGGTCTTGCCTCCGCGGTCGATGCCGAGGTCACGTCCCTCCACCGCCTCGGCAATTGGGACTCCTGGCTCGTGGAGCCTTGCAATTGCATCGCCGGTGGCCTCGGGGTGGCTCGTGAACAGGATAGGCTTGTTGGCCATGCAAGTGTTGCTTCGAGAGCTCTATGAAGATGCTGCGGGTGGCAGAGACCATGCGGTCGGCGATATTGGATCTGGTGCCGACACACTTGATGCTGACGTCGTCGAACCAAGCCCGCGGCATGCACGTCGGCGTCGTCGTAAGGCCCTCAAATACCACGTGCACCACCGTCCGTGCTAGGTTGTTGGAATGGCGCGAGCCCGCTAGTAGTGACCGCCGCGCATACTGCGGTACGGAGTGCGCCCCGCTCTGCCGAAACACCCGCGCAACAGTGTGCATCTGCAGCGCCGTGGCCAAGATTCTGTGTGGAAGCTTGAACCTGGTGGCGGCTTTGCCGATGCCGTGGTAGAGCAGTGAGTCGCAGAACCCCTGGATGTCCACCAAACTCGCACCATGCACAACGCCTAGCCCATGCGTCACCTCGTCGGATGTAGCGCGGCACATCGCCTCTCGTGATCAAGAGTTGGCAGCAACTGCCGCGTCCCCTTTAAATTGCATAGTTCGTATCCAGTCGCGTACCTGAAATCTGCTGAGTTGTTCCCAGCATCTGCAGAACCACGTAAGGAGAGCCAGTGCGCGGTCTCCTTTTCTGCTTGGGTTGTAACATTATGATCGCCAGCATGCGCTGCCGCGGAAAGCCGAGCTGAGCTTCGCATAGGTTGCAGAGGTGCACCAGTGCCTGCCGCCCCGCAGGTGGTAGTCGTCTGGCGCCCGTCATGGCCATCTTATCTGCTCCCCGACCTTTGTCTGGTTCGCCATGCAGCGCGCGGTCAGGGTCCTCCAACGCCCATGCAGGCATGTCCTCCTTGTCCGCTGACGCCTTAAGCTCCCGAATCAGGCTGATGATTTGGTCGTCCGAAGTGGTGTCCGTGTGCCACCGCTGGGTGAACTGCGCAGCCTTGGCATCGATGGTCTCCGTAGCTGTGAAGTGCTTAGTGCCGTGGGCGTCGATCAGCTCGTCCTCAAGCCTGGGCTGCTCCTTCGTGATGCGGTGGTTGGTGCCGGGTGAGGTCGTGGCCACGTCGCTGACCCATTGGGCGAAATCGTGGTTGCTGGCTCGGGCATCGCGTCGTAGGATCCACTGCATCTCCTGAGTCGCCTGGGCGGCCATGCCCTTGATGATGTCGTGGTCCAGGACAGTGATGTCCAGTAGTCTTTCCTTCCATAGTTGTCGGTGCAGAGCTGCTCGAGTTGACTCGTGGCGTCCTGCCGGGGGAATGCCCCGATGGGCGAGGCGTCGGCAGCTGTCGGCGATGGCTCGTCGTTTCTGCTCGCCTCGTTGTCGGGTGAGGAGCGTGTCGTAGTGGCCTAGAGCTGTAGCTGTACTGGTCCACCGGTCAGCGTATTGGTTGGCGTATCGTGATCTTCGGTGTCCGCAGGTGGCCGTACTGGCCCCCTGGTACTCATAGCCCATGCCGCGCCCCAAAAACTGCTGCCGGTCGTCCCCGCTGATGCCGCAGGCGTCGCAGTAGAAGGCTTCCATGGCGTGCGGCGCAGGCCTGGCCCAGATTGTCTGCAGCCTGCGGGTCTGCTCGGTAGCTAATGCTGTCTTTGATGCACGTGGGCGCCGTCGTAGGTGCTGGCGGTTGGAGAGCTGCCAGTCGTAGCCAGTCCTCCTCCATTGTGGTTGCGCTCGCCGACGTAGTGCTGGGAGGCTTAGGCGTCTCCGCTGTTGTGGGGGCCGCAGAGCAGGGGCAAGCTGAGGGCTGGTCGTGCTCGGGGTCTTGGAACGGGTCGCGGTCGGGCGGCTCCAGCTCTGGTGGGAAGTGCTCGTCGGCTGCTGCGATGTCAGGGTCAAGGTCGAGCTGCGCAAAGGGGTCGTCCTCGTCGTGGTATGTTGTGGTTCCTGCTGGTCTGCCAGCCACCGATGTGTCATCAAAACCGGTGGCGGTTGCAGTCC